CCCTGGGGGCCCCCGGGGGCCCCTGCGGGGCCCCCGGGGGCCCCCGGGGGCCCCCTGGGGGCCCCTGGGGCCCCCGGGGGGCCCCCGAGCCCCTCGTTCTCTGCTTCTTCTTGTTTCGGTCGATTTTCTTTTTGCGTTTCCACGTTTGCCGTGCTGGGGGGCCCCCGCGAACCCTGGGGGGCCCCCCTGGTGCAGGCGCGGGGCTGCTGCGGGGGCTTAGGGGGCCCCTGCAGCCCCGCGCCGAGGGGCCCCAGGGGGCCCCCACTAAAGGGTCTTTTGTGAGCCCGCGGGGGCTTCTCGAGAAGCCCCGCGGGAGCATGGGGGCCCCCTGTGGAGCCGACGCGGAGGGCCCCCGAAAGGGTCCCTTGGGGGGCCCCTAGGGGCCCCCCTTTGGGTTTTGTTTTGAGCCCTTTCCGACGGCTGCGCCTCAGGGGGGCCCCCCAAGGCTTCTGTGGCCAAGAGTGTCCTCAGCTGCTGCAGACTAACAGTGCATGCGCATGCAAGTTTGGGGCTTTCTCGTTGCCTGCGTAAATGAAGGCGGGGGCCCCCTGTGTCTGTGTTCTGTGCTTCCCGGGGGCCCCACGCGGCAGCAAAAGGGCCTGCTAGCTGGGGGCCCCAGCAGCGTGGGTTTTTTTCTTGCGCTTCTCCCCTGCTGCTAGCTGCCGGGTCTCGCCGCAGCAGCAGCAGCAACCACGGCCTACGCGGCAGCCGCTCGCTGGCTAGCTAGCTGGCTAGCTGGCTGGCTGGCTGGCCGGCTGGCTGGCTAGCTGCGTGGCTAGCTGGCGCGCCGGCCGGCCAGCTGGCTAGCTGCTGCCTGGCTGGCAAGCTGGCCAGCCGGGCGGCGAGCCGGCCGCCCAGCTAGCCGGCGAGCTAGCCAGCTAGCTGGGCTGGCTAGCTAGCTGGCCAGCCAGCTAGCTGGCTAGCTGGCTGGCTAGCCAGCGGGCTGACCGGCGGGCGAGTGAGTGAGCTAGCCACGAACTTAGGTAAACATATGGGCACAGGCAGCTAGCCAGCTAGCTGTAGTTCCTGCTGTGAGGCGCCGCGAGGTCGATAATGGGGCATTTGGCTCTCTTGTTCTCTTCTGAGGCCTGGCTAGCGAACGGGCGAGCAGCTAGCTGCGAGCTAGCCACCGAGTAGGCGGCAGCAGCAGCAGCAGCTAGCCACCGTTAGGCAGCAGCAGCAGCTGCTGCTGCTGCTGGGCAGCGCGGAGCTAGCGCGCAGGGAGAGGAGAGCTTTTGTCTGTCCTCCTGCAGAAATGGGGGGCCCTTGCTGCTGCTGCAGCACCCACTGCTGTGCTGCAGCTGCTGCTGCGCTGCTGCAGCGAAGTGCATTTGACAGCAGCAGCAAGGAGGGGCACTGCTTCTGCCTGAAGTCCCATTTTCGTGTGTCTGTCTGTTTGTGCTTCCTGTGGCGCCGCCCATGGTAATCTTTCGTTGATTTCCAACTCTTTTGGAGCGACAGAATAACAGAAATAAGTTTTAAAGTTGTCGGCTCCGGGGCTGCGCCGCTGCGCCGCTCGAGTGTACGTACACCGCAGCAGCAGCAGCAGCAGCAGCAGCAGCCACCGCAGCTAGCCATGTATTGCAAGGACCTCCTGTGTATGCACAGGGAGGCAGCAGCACAGCACACTGCCTGCGTAGGCTTTCAGGCAGCAGCAGCAGCAGCAGCAAGAGCTGTTCCTCCTGGGGAAGGCGCAGCTGCTGCTGCCGCCGCTGCAGCGGAGCCAAGGGGCGCGAAGCGCCAGGCTCGAACAGCGCAGCAGCAGCAGCAGCAGCAGCAGCAACAGCAGCTTGCTCTCCCAAGTTGCGAAGACTGGAGCCTCCGCAAAAAGCTGCAGGTGGGCAGCTTTCTTGGCTAGCTATTTTGTGTCTGCTGCTATTTGCTGCTATTTGCTGCTTAAAGACCCGGCTTCCAGCCACTAGGCAGGTTCCTGATACACGCTGCAGCAGCAGCAGCAGCAGCAGCACTGGTGCGCTGCGAAGGCGCAGCAGCCCCACTAGACGGATGCTGCGAAGTGGACTAAGGGCGGCAGCAGCAGCAGCAGCAGCAGCAGCAGCAAGGCGAACAAACAGCAGCAGTGGCAGGAAAAGAGCAGCGGAAGAAGCAACAAAGCGCAGAGCTTAGCGAAGACGTAGAGTTCGGTGCAGCAATACGCCTGACAGGTTTGCCGGTGGTGCCATCCCTGTGCTGCTGCAGCAGCAGGGCAGCAGCACTGCTGCTGCAGCAGCAGGGCAGCAGCACTGCTGCTGCTCTGCGCGTCTCTTTGCTGCTTTGCCGGCGGCGCGGCGAGCCGGGCTGCAGCATTTGCCAGCCGCAGTCCCGCCGCCGCCGCAGCAGCAGCAGCAGCAGCAGCAGCGCAGCGCCCCTGGCATCCCCGCCACTTCTCATGGCGGG